GGCTTTGTGGTGTGACTGTGGCACAGAGGGATGGTGGCTGGCATGCTGGAGACGCTGGGCCGTGGGGTGTGTGCATGCAGGGACCTGGCTGCGGCCTCGCATGGGGGCTGGCATGGGCCTCCGCACAGCCCGAAGTCCTCCCTCCCCACTGCAGGTCGCAGGTGTTGCTCTTAGAGTCAGAGGCCTGCTGCTCTCTCCCTCTTCTCTGGCTTCTTCCTGGTTCCCAAACCTGCCAGTTCTTCCCACCTTAGGACCTTTGCACGTGCTGTCTCCTTTGGTGGGGAGGCTCCTCGCACCTCCTTCTCTGGGTCATTCGGGTCTCAACTTAGAGGTCATCTCCTCCCAGGGGCTTCTCTGATCTCCCTTACAAAGGCTTAGCCTGGGCGAGTGGGGGAAGGGTGAGGGTGTTGGGGGGTGGGGCATGGCCTGGTTCAGGTGTTTTGGGATCACTCTGGACACCGGTGGAGAGTGTCAGGCAGGGGAGCAAGGTGGCCTGGACTGGCTGCAGGAAGGTGATGGGGCAAGGGCAGTGGGCAGGTTCAGGTGTCCTGCTGGGTGGAGGCTGGGGGAGAAGACACCACCTGCCTCCTTGGCCGCCCAGAAGGAGCTCAGAGAGTCACCAGTTCTTGTCTTATCTCCAAACAGGTGCAGAAGGTCATGCCCAAAGACACTTTCTACTTTACCATCCTCAGAAACCCTGTCTTCCAGTTGGAGTCTTCCTTCGTCTATTACAAACACCACGCCCCTGCCTTCAGGGGCGTCGCGAGCCTGGAAGCCTTCCTGGCCTCCCCGTGGACCTACTACAACCAGAGCCTGGGCCTGAGCAACGTCTACGCCAGGAACAACATGTGGTTCGACCTGGGGTTCGACAACAACGCGCCAGCCGAGGAGGGCTACGTCCGCGCGAGCCTCGCCGCCATGGAGCAGCGCTTCCAGCTGGTTATCATAGCCGAGCACTTCGACGAATCTATGGTGCTGCTGCGGCGGCTGCTGCGCTGGCGGCTGGATGACGTGGTCTCCTTCAGTCTCAATTTCCGCAGCCAGCGTAGCGTCACCAGCCTGACGCCTGAGGGCCGGGAGCGCGCGCAGCGCTGGTGCGCCCTGGACTGGCGCCTCTACCAGCACTTCAACCGCACCTTCTGGGCCAAGGTGCACGCGGAGCTGGGCCCGCAGCGGCTGCGCGCAGAGGTGGAGCTGCTGCAGGTGCGGCGGCACGAGCTTGAGGCTCTGTGCCTGCAGGACGGTGGGCCCAAGAACCAGTTGCAGATCACCGACCGCATACTGCGCCCCTACCAGTCGGGCAAGGCTGACATCCTGGGCTACAACCTCAGGCCGGGCCTGGACAATCAGACACTGCAGATGTGTCGGAGAATGGTCATGCCCGAGCTCCAGTACGTGGCCCACCTGTACACCCTGCAGTTCCCGGAAAATCCCCCGAAGAAGATCCCCTTCCTGGAGTAGAGGAATGGCACCGGAGAGGGGACCCCGTGTGTCTCTGGCCCCTCTCCTGTCATCCGTGGGAGGCCATGGGCACTGCCTCAGGCTCGGAGGAGGCCTCTTGGGGCATCCGGGAGACCCAGGCCCTGCCAGACCACTGCTCCTCAGGGTGCAGATGCCGGTTGCCTGTGAAGAGATCACCCATGATCCATCCTCTCAGAGGTGGCCTATTTGGTGGAGGTCCCCAAATCTTGGACAGTAGGCACACCTGTCCTCACGATGTGAACCTATTCATCAAAAAAAAAAAAGTAGTCTTACCAGGTTGGAAATGAGGGCTATTTAATTACATGTCATCAGAGGAACAGGAACCAGGGAATCCGGGGAGCTTGGGCAGCAGGGCCATGGATCCCTGAGGAGCTGAGAGCAGCTCCCCTGAGTTTGCCAGCCATGGGGACATGGCGCTGGTCACTGAGACACTGGTTCAGCACCTGCAGAGCACTCTGAAGTTGGGCCTGGGGAGCTGGGACAAAGGAAAGGATCTGGAATGTCCAGCTTCCCACCTCTGGCTGTATGAGGCTTGTTTCCAACCAAAGAACAGTTTTAGATTGAGAAATGTTAGATTGGCTTATGAGAGGAATGGTTTAGCCAGAGCACAGTGAAGGTCAGTGCTGGGCTCTGTGTTGGGATAGCCTCCTCCCCATCCCCAAATGTCCAGTGAAGGAGAAAACTTGCAGGAGAGCTTGGATGGGCCACTGCACCCTTGGTTGCCATGGAGACCATGTTGGATGCAACCCCAGAGGAGGGCAGCTTCCAGGCACCCTCTTTGTCATTTGTGGTGGGGGCCTGAGGATGCCCTGCCTGGCAGGATGTGATCCCTGGCTGCTTGGGGGCCCAGCATTTAGAGTGGGGTGCACACACCCAGCACCATGTGCCCTGTGCCCTAAGAAAAGTCGGGTGCCTGGAGCACCCAAGAAACAGAGCCACTCACTCTCACACACTCAGCCCAGAGGCTCAGCCTGGCCTGTCCACCTGGCATGGGGGTCCCTTTCCTTCCATGTAGGGCCCTCCACCCTGAACCGCAGCAGCTGAGCCTGGGCACCAGGGCCAGGCGCTCTTGCTTCTCAGGGTAAGACGTGTCCAAACGTCTCAGGGGAATCGGCATTTCAAAGAAGGAGGAGCCTCACTCATGACAGAACAGGCAGCAGCTCCCCTGGACACCAATTGAACGGAGGGACTTTAAAAAGAATGAATTTTCTGTGAGATTGGAAGACATATTGCTGCCAATTTGAGAATAAAAGAGTATTTGGAAAAGGAAAACATGACTTCCCAAAGAAATGGAATAGAGACCGTGAAGAATGAACGGACGCTGCAGAGCCGGGGTCAGCCAGGAGACCCTCCAGAGGGTCTGTCATCCTCCACCTGGAGGAAAATGCCAAGAAAGAAATTCCAAGGGAGAGTGGAGAAGGGAAATCAGATCCAGGATAAGCCACCTGCGACTGACGGGAGTCTTGGCAGCAGAGTAAGGCTCATAGATAAGAACCTAGAGTCAAACAAAAAATGGGGGAAATTACCCCCGTTTAAAGAAAGACTCAATCAGTGCCCGGAACGTTAGGCAGCTCCCCCAACTCCCAAAGAAAACAAGGCCCCCAGCCCGGCCAGCGTGGGCAGGCACGTGAATCCGGGATAAACAGAAGACGCTGCTGTTTCTTGCCACAGAGAGCGGGCAGTCGGGGGGGAGGGCGGTGGCTTGAGACCACCACCAGCACCAGAGTGCTGCGACCGCAGACCGAGGCTGTGCTCAGCCGCACAGTAACCAAGAACAGGAAACTACCCGGGGAGTTCAATGGCGTTTGCTTTTGCCTTTGAGGTTGGCAGGAATGTAAACTGGTACCCCCTTTTTGGAGGGAAGTTTGGGGGTATTTATCACCAGGTAAAGCACACGTGATTTGTAACAGAACTTCAGAACGGGTTGTCTATCCTAAAAAGGAATGTTTAGAATGCTAAGTCCTACACAGCCAATAAAACTGGGAGAACAGAGTGTGTGAATCTCCTTTTGGAAGGGACGTCCCCAGGCCTTTGTGTGGCTGGGGTTGGGGATGGTGAGCTGTGCTGCCGGTGACCAGGACGGAATGTGCTTGTCCCAGCGAGTTGTGCCTAGGGAGCTGGGGCAGCTGGGGAGGCAGACAGTCTGATTTTTCAAGAGAAGCTGGAAATACAAGTTTTCATGTGAAATCTCCATGTTTATAAAAGCTGGCATTTAGCTAAAACATTAAGACCTCCAGGAAGAGGGAACGAGGCGTGTGTGGGGGCCACCTCCTTCTGTGGCTCCATGTGCACCTGGTCAGATGGCCCTGCCCAGGCTGGGGGACTGTGCGCAGGTGATGTGGGGGTTCGAAGACTCGCCTTCCCCCAGCATGGGTTCTCAGTAGACCAGGCTGGGAAGTGGTGGGCAGAGAAGGGAGGTGGACCCTTTCCTGTTTCTGCTTGCATGGGACTCCAGAGAGGCAGGAGGCTGCGTTAACTGTCCCTTCAGACCTGTCTTCCCCTTTCCCTCCATGGCAGACCCCTGCGGTTTGATCTGGGCAGAGGCTTCGGGCTGGGGATGTCCTGGAGCCCATGGAGGTGGACAGAAGTGACGTGTGCCAGGTCCGAGCCACCTCTGCAGAATGGCCGGGCACCACCGCCCTCTCCCCACCCCTCCTTGGGCTGCTGGCACTTAGCCAGGGGGAATGGCCGTCACCATGTGGAGGAGATGGTGGCCCCAGACGCAGGGGCAGGATGTGGGGCTGCGGCTGCTGAGGGTCAAAGGGCTGGCCTCCTGAGGCCCGAGGGAGAGGCAGGCAGGCACTGGGCTGTGCTGTGGAGGACCACAGAGCGATCACACAGCTTCTCGTGGGCAGCGTCTCTGGAAGAGACCTGGAGGCCGCTGACAGCTTGTCCCCCACGTAGGTCAGCTGTGGCCCCTGGCAGCAGCCCGCCCCCGGCACAGCCTTGCTGGGGGGTGAGCCCCCAGGGTGGAGCCCTGTGTGGCCACATCCTGATGCTGTCCCCACCTCGGATGCCTGTCTGCACCCCTGCCCCTCTCTGTGTGGCACCAAGTCTCATGGCTGGCAGGAGGGCCCTGGGTCCTGACGAAGCCCTGGGGCGCGGCCAGCTCCCTGCTCCCGCCCACACAGTGGGCTCTTGTCTCAGCTTTGCTCACTGGGTCGAGAGGCAAGCACTCCTGCGGCTGCCCTGCTGTGCCTGGTGAGTCCCCCTGCCCCTCATCTGTACCCAGGACTTGCCCTCTTTGGGCGGAGGGTGATGGGCTTATGGACCAAGGGCCCTCCAGCCGGAGGTTCCACATGGCCCCCCGTTCCTGCCATGGGATGACTTCCTGAAGGGCCCAGGGGAGATTTAGAGGGTGGGATGGATGCAGACTGGGTGTCAGGGCCCAAAGCTGGGGGCCCTGCCCCAGCATTTGTGATCAGGTGGGCCCCCAGGTGACGCTCCACCAGGTGGAGGGTCTGTAATTGAGTCTTTGCCCTGGATGGGACATAGGGCACTCAGGTCAGACTGGACTCAAGTGCAGATGGCCTGTGCTCTCCATGTGTGAGCGTTTTGCTGCAAAGCTGCAGGCTGTGCGTGCCTGGCATCAGCCGGCCCCCAGGCCAAAACTGGGCTGAGCCCGAGGATGAGGCCCAGGTGACCTGTGCTGGCTTGTGCTCCAGGCTGGAGCCCGGATAGGACCAGCTGCAGGAGTGCAGGGTAGGCCCCCGCTGAGGCAGATGGCCTTATGAACTCACCCGGGTCCAGGGCCAGGGACCAGGCTGCCTTGAGGGTCCCGTCTCCTCCCCAGGCCTCAGCTTCCCCTTCTGTGACGCAGTGCCCCTGGAGAGGGGGTCCGGGCATGGAGACTTACAGGTGTTGACTTCACTCAACGCTGGAACTTGTTGAATTGGCCAAGCTGGACAGGGCCAGCTGCCTGGGAGCCCTGCTCCTCTGCTGAGATTGAGGGGCCTGCACCTCTGGGGCTCTGGAGAAACCCAAGGCCCGGGCTGGGCACAGGTGCTCCAAGCACCCGGCAGCTTGCCCTGCTCTGTGCACTGAGCAGAGTGACCAGCTGGTCTCTGGAGCCTCCATCTCTGTTGCTCTGTTATGTGGCGGGGGTTTGGGGGTGGGGCTGGGCCTGAGCCCCCTGCTTCTGCTGGCACTGGCGCCCAGTGGTCCCAGGCCTTGTGGGGCCAGCCAAGCGGAGAGAATGCCCCACTTGTGTCCATTCAGCCTGGAGGGACATGTGACACCTGCACCTGCTTCCTGCTGGGGCACAGTTGCTCTTTGGATGCAGAGCAGGGGAGGGGGCCCAAGGGATTCCCAGACACAGGAAGCTGCTCTCAGAAGCCCCAGAGGCACAGTGAAGCAGGGGCACCCTGGAGTTAGGCAGGGGCTCTGCTGGGCCCTGAGGGCAGTCGGGCAGGGCTGATATGCTGGACCAGGCGGTCCTGGACCGAGGTGACTCTTCTGGGGACCTCAGGCCTGGTGGGGTGTGTGTGTGTGTTCATTCCAGTCACCCTACTCTCCATCCTGAGACCATGTCCTTGGATGTGCGCTGGCCTTGCTGAGGTCCTCCCCGCCCCCTCCCCTCAGTGCTGGGTCTAGTTCCTGCCATACGCCTGGCCCGTTGGCTCCGCTGCCCAAACACCTCCTATTACTGTCGCAGCACATGGGCCACCACTCTCAGAGGTGGGGGGGCATACTCACTCCTGCCCCTCCACAGGGGCTGGGCCAGTCCACGTTTGCCTTTGTGCAAATCAGAGGAGACCCCTGGTAGGGGGTCCGTCGGGACTGCGGCCCCCATGTGTGCCCCAAATGCACCCCAATCAGAGGCCCTGCCCCTGTGAGCCTCCCTCAGGTGCAGGCTCCCGGGAAGGAGGCTGCCCCCAGAAAGGCTGCCCCAGGCCACGCTCCGTCACTCCTGCAGAAGCCCTGGCCTGTGGGCAAGGGGGCCCGGGGCAGGGGCAGGTGGGGCCTGGGCTGTTGTCTCTCCTTTTGCCTCTCCCCTCTCAGCTCTCAGCTCTCAACTCTGGGAAGCCCATCGGCCTCCACCACACCCACCTCCAGCCTGGCTTCTCTCCATCGTGCACACCGCTCCTGGGGTCTCTGTCAGCGAGGTGCTCTGCTTCCTCTCCTCACTGTGTGGAAGCAGCTGCTTTTCAAGTTCAAACCTCAGCCCCCTCTGCCCTGCCCTCACACGTGGTTCCTTTCTGCCTGGAGGGGGCAGGGGCAGGGCAGGAGGGTGGTGACCTCTCTGGCCCCCTTGGGGGGTTTCCTCTCACTGCCCCACTGGCGTGCGCTGCTCTTAGCTCCCTTGGGGTACACGTGTGGGTGATTTGCGGTACTCTATGGGTAGGGGCGGCTCTGCTGGACTTCCCCATGCCCCTAGCCTTGCTCAGAAGCCCGAGGGGCAGGGTGGTGGGTCCCCTGCTTCCACAGATATCCCTCTGGGCCCTGGAGTTCAGGCCCCTTCTCCGCCAGAGACCTGCTGGGGTCCCCCTCTTGGGTCAGCAGGCCACCCCCTACGTTTCCTGGCTACTCCCCCGAATTCCCTGACACTGCTGCCCCACAGGTCTGAGAAGGGTGTCTTCCCCCAGGAAGACTTGGCTTGCGCATGCGGCATGTGCCTTTCTGTGCATCTCCCGTGTTGTCCGTGCTTCGTGTGTGTCTTTCCGTCTGTGTCCTTTTCGGTGTGCTTTGTCTCTGTGCTTCAAGGCTCCTCTGGTTGTGGGGCCCCTACCTGGGGACACTGAGCCCCTCCTTGTCCAAAGCCTTGGGCCCTGATTGTCCACTTGGCGGGCTTCTACTGGTTAGGCTCTGTAATGACCAGGAGTCCCAAGCACGTGGGTGGACAAGGTCAAGGGGCTCTGACCAGGCTCCTGGGCTCCCAACAGACATTTGGGGTGCAGGGGCTGTGGGGTAGGGACTGCCCTGGTCGGAGGGGGTGAGGGATCTGGGGACAGCACAGTCTCTGGCTGGGGTGGGCACAGGAAGGCGGATTGGAGGGGGCTGGGGACCGGCACCTGCAGAGCCCCTTCCCCAATCTGGACAGACAAGAGAGGAGCAGGCGTGGCTCGCTGACCCTGGGGTCCTGGGGCCTACACCTGCAGAGCATGGGGGCCCCGCGTATCCCTGTGCGGACCGTCCTCTTCCAGCGCGAAAGGACCGGCCTGACATACCGTGTGCCGGCACTGCTGCCGTGCGCCCCCCGGGCCCACCCTGCTGGCCTTCGCAGAGCAGCGGCTCAGCCCCGACGACGCCCATGCCCACCGCCTGGTGCAGAGGATCGGCACGCTGGTGGGGGGCTCCGTGCGGGTGAGCTCCGGGCCACATCCATCTGGGGAGCGCGGGGTCGCGCCGCGCTGACCGGGAGACTGAGGCTGCGCCTCTCTGCCCGCAGTGGGGCGCCGCGCATGTGCTGGGGACGGCGGCCCTGGAGGAGCACCGCTCCATGAACCCCTGCCCGGTGCATGACACGCGCACAGCTACCGTCTTTCTCTTCTTCATCGCTGTGCGCGGACGCACCTCCGAGGCCACGCAGATTGCTGCGGGCAGGAACGCTGCTCGCCTCTGCTGCGTGACGAGCCGAGACGCGGGGCGCAGCTGGGGTGGTGTACGGGACCTCACAGCAGAGGCGGTGGGCGGCGCTGAGCAGGGTAGGTGGGCGCAGGGGCTGGATCTGCACGGGGAGGAGGGGTGAGGGTCCAAGCGTGGGTGGGGTTCCGCACCGCGGGGGCGTCTGCACCCTGGGCGGTGGCGGGGTCTGGCTGGAGGTCTCCCAGCTACCATCCTTGCCCTGCACCCAGCCTAAGGGCTACCAACGCCATTTGCGGGGCTGTCCTCGTCCTGTCCTCGGAACCCCTCAGTCCTGCCCTCAACGGGTTCTTTCATTCTCTGAACTTGTCTCTGTCTGAGCGCTGAGACCCCCCAGTGCCAAACGCCAAGT